AAAATACAAAAATTGGCCCAGGTGTGGTGGTGCACACTGTAATATCAGCTACTTGGGAGACTGAGGCACGATAACTGTTTGAACCCAAGGGGTGGAGGCTGCAGTGAGCCAAGATCATGCCATTGAACTCCAGCCTGGGTGACAGAACAAGACTCCATCTAGAAAAAAAAAATCTTCCCAGTTTTGCTTCTGGTGGCTCTGGAGACGTCCCGGGCCCGTGGCTGCCCCATTCCATTCTCTGGCCGTCTTCACATGGCCTGCTTCTCAGTGTTTGTATCTCTTGTGTCCTTTCTCTCCTAAGGACACTTGTCACTGGGTCAGGATCCACCTTAATCCAGGACAATCTCACCTCAAGACACTTCATGACGTCTGCAAAGAAATTCTTTTTGAGTCTTGCTCTGTCACCCAGGCTGGAGTGCAGCGGCTCCAACTTGGCTCACTGCAACCTCTGCCTCTGGGTTCAAGCGATCCTCCTGTCTCAGCCTCCCGAGTAGCTGGGACTACAGGCGTGCACCACCACCCCTGGCTAATTTTACATTTTTAGTAGAGACGGGGTTTCACCATGTTGGCCAGGCTGTTCTTAAACTCCTAACCTCAGGTGATCCACCTGCTTCAGCCTCCCAAAGTGCTAGGATTACTGGCATGAGCCACCACACCTGGCCAAAGAAACTCTTTCTAAAAATAAGGTCGTAGTCACAGGTGCCAGAGATTGACACTTAAGACATTTCTTTGTGGAGACACCATTTAAGCCATTACTCATGGATTGACTTACTCATGACAGGACCCTGTCTCTACAAACAAAAATTAGCCAGGCATGGTGGTGCGTATCTGCAGTCTCAGATACTTAGGAGGCTGAGCTGGGAAGATGGCTGAAGCCTGGGAGTTTGAGGCTACAGTGAGCCAAGATCATGTCACTGTACTCCCGCCTGGGCAACAGAGCGAGACCCTGTCTCAAAACAAATAAATGAACTATGGATTATCATCATTATATTAGTTAATAACAACGTATTCCTCTCTACTCGGTAACTGTCACAAATGCACCATACTAATGACAAATGACAAACTTTGTTTGCTTTTTCTTTTTTTGAAAGAAGTCACCAGGCTATTTTTTTTTTTTTTTTTTTTGAGATGGAGTTTCGCCCTGTCGCTCAGGCTGGAGTACAGCAGCGTGATCTCGGCTCACTATGGCCTCCACCTCCCTGGTTCAAGCGATTCTTCTGCTTCAGCCTCCTGAGAAGCTGAGACTACAGGTGCAGGTGACCACGCCCAGCTCATTTTTGTATTTTTAGTAGAGATGTGGTTTCACCACGTTGGTCAGGCTGGTCTCGAACTCCTGACCTCGTGATCCACCCGCCTCGGCCTCCCAAAGTGCTGGGATTGCAGGCGTGGGCCACCGTGCCTGGCCCTCCTCATACTTTCTACTCAATTTTTCTGTAAACCTAAAACTGCTCTAAAAAATAAAGTCCAGGCTGGGCGCAGTGACTCACGCCTATAATCCCAGCACTCTGGGAGGCTGAGACAGATGGATTACCTGAGGTCAGGAGTTTGAGACCAGCCTGACCAACCTGGTGAAACCCCGTCGTCACCTAAAAAAAAAAAACCTACAAAAATTAGCTGGGCATCATAGTGGCTACCTAGGAGGCTGACGCCGGAGAATCGCTGGAACCAAGAGGCAGAGGCTACGGTGGGCAGACAGCTCACCACTGCACTCTAGCCTGGGCAACAGAGTGAGACTCCGTCTCAAAAATAAAGTCCATTAGTTAAGGGAGATAAACCAGGAGCTTCACAAGTTGAAATGGAGAGAAAGGAAAGCTGGTGTGGGGAGGGAGGTGCCGTGGGTACAGAGGCCTGCCGCGGGGAATGTGTTTGGTGCGTTTCAGGACCCAAACAGAGACAGCCAGAGAGGCAGAAGGCAGGTGTCAGACACGCTGCAGATCCCAGTGGGCGAGGCTCAGAGGCCCAGGGGACCAAGTTGCTCTCTGAGAAACCAGAGGGATGCTGTGAAAAACCAGAGGGAGGTCTTTTTTTTTTCTTTTTAAAACGGAGTCTTACTCTGTTGCCCAGGTTGGGGTGCAGTGGCACAATCTCAGCTCGCTACAACCTCCACCTCCCTCGTTCGGGCGATTCTAGCCTCTCAAGTAGCTGGGATTACAGGCATGCACCACCATGCCTGACTAATTATTGAATTTTAATAGAGATAGGGTTTCACCGTGTTGACCAGGCTGGTCTCGAACTTCTGACCTCAAGCGATCTGCCTGACTTGGCCTCCCAAAGTGCTGGGATTATAGGTGTGAGCCACAGCGCCTGGCCGGAGGTCTTGGCCAAAACAAAGGAATGAACAAAAACCCTCCCTGGCAGTTGCCCAGGCATCCTATGTCCTAGGGCAGAAATTTCTGATTCCCTTACTCTTTCCATTATTATCATACAGGGAAACTGAGGCCCAGAGAACGGCCATTCAATTCGCAAAGCACACAGCAGGCCCGTCTCTCAAGCACTGGTAGAGAGCTGAGTGACACAGGATGTCACCTACTTCCACAACAAAGAAAAGAGCTTGTGTGACCTCACAATAGCCATTTGGGGTCAGGTACGATTCTTATCTGCATTTCACAGATTGAGGAGGCAAGCCCAGAGAGGCAAAGCCACTTGCTCAAGGTCACACAGCGTGTGCTCAGTGGCTGAGCCTGACTTGTAACCATTCTGGTGGCAACGGCAGAAAGCAAGTTTGTACGCCACTTGAAGTCTCTGGTGGCTGGATTTGGCGGGCGCTGCAGAGGGGACCCTGCAGAGTGCATTTCTGCAGGGGCTGAGAGTCTGAACTTCCAGGGCAAGAACTGCCTGCATCCCTCACCACCTGGCTCCAGGCTCCACCTTGGGATGCCCTTCCTCTGATACCCACATGGCCCCCAATGACATTCTCACATTAGCTCACATTTCATCTCCCGAGTGAGGTTCAAAGTCTCCCCATTTCCTCCCTTCCCCTCCCTCATCACACATTCACTTTCTAGTTCCTTCTACTGCTGCGTTTTTCTTTTAACCCCTGTGAGTAACGCCAGGCACAATGGCTCACGCCTGTAATCCCAGCACTTTGGGAGGTGAAGGCGGGCAGGATCGCCTGAGCCCAGGATTTCAAGAGTAGCCTGGGCAACGTAGTAAGACCCCATATCTACAAAAAATACAAAAAAAAAAAAAAAAAAAAAAAAAAGCCAGGCATGGTGGCATGCACCTATAGTCCCAGCTACTCGGGAGGCTGAGGCGGGAGGATCGCTTGAGCCCAGGAGTTCGAGGCTGCAGTGAGCTGTGATTGCACCATTACCCTTCAGCCTGGGCAACAGAAGGAGACCGTCTCAAAAAAACCTCAAATGAATAAACCTCTATCCTTTCCTCCTCCACTAAAGTGGAGGTGCCCTAGGACAGGGGTCTTGTCTATCTCTTGGTTACCGTGTCCCCAGTGCCCACACAGGGCTGGCACACAGTTATAACAGGAGTGACAATCCCTAGCCAGCAGGGATACGGTGTTGGGGACAGAGGGAGAGTGCTGCAGGGGCCCACTGGGCAGCACCACCCTCTGACGGCCCCGATGTTAGAGCTGTGTTGGGGGAATGACTGTCACCATTGTCCTCTGAGTTACTTCATTCACTTATGCAAGTCAGTAAAGGAACCCAGCCTGCCTGTGCCTACCCGACCTCTAACTTCTCCCAGCCCCCTCTGCCTCAGTTTCCCTGCACTTGACAGGCTTACTTGAGGTTGGGGGTGTGGAGGTGGGTGTCTTAAATGTCAAAGATTTAACATGTCTTGATGTTACCACACAAGAGTTTTGTTTTGTTTTTTTGAGACAGAGTCTCCTGTCACCCAGGCTGGAGTGCAGTGGTGTAATCATATCTCACTGCAGCCTCGACCTCCTGGGCTCAAGCGGTCCTCCTGCCTCAGCCTCCAACTGCACCCAGCTAATTTCTTTTTTATGTTTTAAGATATGGGGGCCACTGTGTTGCCCAGGCTGGTCTTGAACTCCTAGTCTTGAGTGATCCTCCTGTCTCAGCCTCCCAAAGCACTGGGATTACAGGTGATAGCCACTGCACCTGGTCTGCACAAGTCTTTATTTATTTATTTATTTATTTGAGACAGAGTTTCACTCTTGTTACCCAGGCTGGAGTGCAATGGCGCGATCTCGGCTCACCGCAACCTCCGCCTCCTGGGTTCAGGCAATTCTCCTGCCTCAGCCTCCTGAGTAGCTGGGATTACAGGCACGCGCCACCATGCCCAGCTAATTTTTTGTATTTTTAGTAGAGACGGGGTTTCACCATGTTGACCAGGATGGTCTCGATCTTTTGACCTCGTGATCCACCCGCCTCGGTCTCCCAAAGTGCTGGGATTACAGGCTTGAGCCACCGCACCCGGCCAAGTCTTTTTTTAATAGGGTGATGTGCACACAGTGGGTGCCTCTGGGTGGTCCCACACAAATGGGGGGCCCAGCCTCCCCCATTCATGAATCCTGGGGACCCCAGGCTTCCCATCCATCTAGGGCTCTGTGGACACCTCTGAGGCTGGAACCAATCTCCCCTCCCGTCAAGGGATCCGGGCAGGCCGCCAAACCCGGTGCTCCCCTGAGAGACTCCGAGAGGCCCCGACACCGCCCCCGCTCCGGGTCCCCGGGATGCTTGCGCAGGCGGGAGCCCGGGGCGCCCGGGGGATCCCTGGGCGTCACGCCGCTGTTGTGGAGCGCGTGTTGACAACGTCGCCGGGGAGACCGGCGGGGGCGGGGACGGGCGGGGGGCGCGGCCTGGAGGCGCGCGAGGGGCCGGGCCGGCCGCGCAGGGCCCGGGCCGCCGCAGTGGCCACGGCCGCCGCCGCCAGCCGGCTTATATACCGCGGCTAAATTTAGGCTGCGCCCGGAGCTCGTCCCCATCCGGGACGCGTTTCCGCCGCCGCTGCTTTGGCCCGGCCCCCGCGCGCCGAGCCTATAAGGCTTGGGCGGTCCCGGCCGCGGCCCGCAGAGCCGTCCCCGCCCGCCCGCGCCCCGACCAGCCCGGCCCCGGGCAGCCACTCACCGGCGTCCCCAGTCCGCGTCCTTCCTCCCCGGGTCCCGGCCATGGCGCTGAGCGAACCCATCCTGCCGTCCTTCTCCACTTTCGCCAGCCCGTGCCGCGAGCGCGGCCTGCAGGAGGTGAGGGCGGCAGGGGCGGCGGGGACCGTGGGCGGCGGGGCTCTGGGTAGTAGAACGTGGGCTGCGGGGTGACAGCGCGCGGAGGCGGGAACCGCAGGCTCAGGAGAGGAGGAGGCGGGCAACGGGGATCGCGGACTCCGGGTGGCAGGAGGCGGGCAGCGGGGCCGGCAGGCAGCAACCCCCGGGCCCCGCCGCCCGCTCACACCCGCGCGCATCGCCCTGTCGCCCGCAGCGCTGGCCGCGCGCAGAGCCCGAGACTGGCGGCACCGACGAGGACCTCAACAGCGTGCTGGACTTCATCCTGTCCATGGGGCTGGACGGCCTGGGCTCCGACGCCTGCCCCGGAGCCGCCGCCGCCGCCCCCGCCGCCTGCGTTCTATTACCCCGAACCTGGCGCGCCGCCGCCCTACGGCGCCCCCGCGGGGGGTCTGGTGTCCGAGTTGCTGCGACCCGAGCTGGACACGCCGCCGGGGCCCGCGCTGCACGGCCGCTTTCTGCTGGCGCCGCCCGGCCGCCTGGTCAAGGCCGAGCCCCCCGAAGCGGACGGCGGCGGCTACGGCTGCGCCCCCGGGCTGACCCGTGGACCGCGCGGTCTCAAGCGCGAGGGCGCCCCAGGCCCGGCGGCTTCGTGCATGCGAGGTCCCGGGGGCCGCCCCCCGCCTCCGCCCGACACCCCGCCGCTCAGCCCCGACGGCCCAGCGCGCCTGCCCGCGCCCGGCCCGCGCGCCTCCTTCCCGCCGCCCTTCGGTGGCCCCAGCTTCGGCGCGCCCGGGCCCGGCCTGCATTACGCGCCCCCTGCGCCCCCCGCCTTCGGTCTCTTCGACGACCCGGCTGCCGCCGCCGCAGCCCTGGGCCTGGCGCCTCCCGCCGCCCGCGGTCTCCTTACGCCGCCCGCGTCCCCTCTGGAGCTGCTGGAGGCCAAGCCCAAGCGCGGCCGCCGCTCGTGGCCCCGCAAACGCACCGCCACCCACACCTGCAGCTACGCCGGCTGCGGCAAGACCTATACCAAGAGTTCGCACCTGAAGGCGCATCTGCGCACGCATACAGGTGGGCGGCGCGCACGGGCCGGAGCGCTGGCTGGGGGGCGCGGCAGGAGGGGTCGGATTCCCAGCGCGCGCCAGAAAGTGAATTTAGGACCTCCCTTAGGGCGTGGATCGGGAGGAACGGGCAGGGGGCGCACGCGTAGGACTCTTCGGGAGGCGTGGCTGCGGGTTGGTTGGGGGCATGCAGGACCCCTCCCTAAGGAGGTGTGATCCGAGAAGTTGGGGGGGAGTGCACACGCTGAGGACGAGAGGGGCCTCAGGAGATTGGGAAGGGCACTTAGAAAGCCTGGGGGCGTGGCGAGGGAGACCGTTTCAGAAAGTTGGGGAGGGTGAGCAGGCTTAGGGGCCGCTGGGGACGTGGCTCAGAATCCCCCAGGTTGAGGCTCAGGAAGTTGGGAAGTAGGCGTGCGCTTAGGGACCCGGGAGAGATGCCGCGTCTCAGGAAGCTGGGGAGGGGCGCAGGCTTGGGACTCCTCGGGGGACAAGGCTCAGGACCTTGGGGAGGGAAGGCGAGCTTGGGAAACGTGGAGAGATCCCGTGTCTTAGGATGCTGGAGAGAAGGTGCACGCTTAGGACCTGTGGGGGGCGTGGCTCGAAACAGGGGGCGGTGGATCGTGAGTTCCTCCGGCCCCCTGGGGGTGAGGATGCGGATGGTGGGGAGTTGGGGATGTAGGGCGAGGATCCCTCAGGGGTACAACACTTTAGCCGGGAACGCTTCAAGGCACTGGTTAGGGATAGGTTTCGGGCGCAGGGGTAGCCAGTACCCGTATGTGCCCTGTCCTAGGAAGGAAACTGAGGCTCACTCTCGCCCTCCACCCAACCCCTGCAGGTGAGAAGCCCTACCACTGCAACTGGGACGGCTGCGGCTGGAAGTTTGCGCGCTCAGACGAGCTCACGCGCCACTACCGCAAGCACACGGGCCACCGGCCATTCCAGTGCCATCTGTGCGATCGTGCCTTCTCGCGCTCCGACCACCTGGCGCTGCACATGAAGCGGCACATGTAGCCGGGACGTCCCCGCCCGCCTGCGCGCGGCCGTGGCGGGTCCCACGCGCCGGACGCGGCCCCTTCCCAAACTGTGACTGGTATTTATTGGACCCGGAGAACCGGGCCGGGCACAGCGTGGCTACAGAGGGCCTCCCTCGATGACGACGACGACGCCACCGCCCCAGCCCCCATCTGTGACTGAAGACCCGGTGGGAAAAGACCACGATCCTCCTTGACGAGTTTTGTTTTTCAAAATGGTGCAATAATTAAGTGGCATCTTCCTCCCCCCGGGTCTACACTAGAGGATCGAGGCTTGATGCCTTGTGAGAAATAGCGGCCTTAATTTGTACTGTCTGCGGCATTCTTTTTTATAATATTGTACATAGTGACTGTGATGAATAATTGTATTACTGTACATAGACAGTGGGCATTTTTGGGCTACCTGATTCGTTTTTATAAGATTTTGCTGGGTTTTTTTTTTTAATTAAAAGTTTTGTATCTTTTAAAAAAAAAATCACAGCACTGGTCTGGCTGCTTGGAACTGGGGGCATGGGGCATGTGGGAGGAGGGGGAGCGGCTGGTTTGATGGAGGGCAGCCCCGCTAATCGTGTGTAGTGGGTCCTGCCTCTGCCAACACCGGGACTGCCAGCTGCTGTGCCCGCCTGCCAGGAACCTGTGGGTTTTTCTGTAAATTTAAACACTGCATTTTAGGACTGAGGGAGGGTTATTTTAAGGTTGTTCTTTGAGCCATAAATTGCCTCTTTGCCCCAGAGCTGGGGAAAGTGCTGGTCCCACTGACGTGGCCGCCTCTATGTTGGAGGAAAAAAAAACAAAAAAAAACAAAAAAAAACCTTACCTCTTCCTGGAAGCCTCTGAGGTTTTTAGCCAAATTTCTGGAGTTTCAGCTTTTTTTTTTTTTTTTTTTTTTTTAACGGGGTTAACAGGCTGAGTTTTGGATATGTTCTACCCCTTACTCCTCCCCACGTTTAGCAAGTCTTTTCTTAAGGGGTGAGTTCGCCATCTGCTAGGGGAAAACAGTAAAGCCTGCATTTGAGGGCCATTCACGAAGGTCTTTTCCAGATGAGGAAATGGAGGCCCCAAGAGGTAGGTGCGGGGCAGTGGAGTTAATATGTTAGGGCCCTCCAAGGGTCCCTGAACCCCACTGGAAGGGAGCGGTGGCTTTCTGCAATGACCCACAGGTTGTGTATATTAGGCTAGAGGACCCTCCCCTGTAGGTCTCTCCTGGTGCAAAAAATTCACAACACAGCAGAGTCCCTGCCTCGATGGTTGGAGGTGACCAATCGGGAAACCCACCTAGAGAAGAGGGGACACTCGTGAATCCCACCGCCCTGAAAGTCTCGGTCAGGCAAGGACATACTTCACCCCTCAGATTTCCCCTGCCACCCCTCATCTTCCCCATTCTCAGGGGCCCCGGGTAACCATGACCAGCAACCATTGCACAAGTTTCCAGAAAGTGAAAATAGCTTGTAAGCAGCGCCTGCTTTAAAACACTCTCACCCCGTTGCGACAGAGGCTGGGATTTCCTCCCTCCCTCCATCCTTCCTCCTGAGCAGCCCTGAAAACAGCTGAGAGGTGTTTGGTAATCCATGAAAAGCAGAAATGCGAGATGACAATCTGATTCATTTTTCGAGAGTAAATAGCCTGGCCTCACTTCCGCTGGCAATGAAGGGTGTGAATGTCTTTGAGCCTACTCTACCCACCCCACCATGTGTAGCTTCTGCAAAACCGTCCCAAGACGGAATGTTGGCCCCTCAACCTGGGGAACTGATCCTCCTTCTTAAAAGCTGGTCTTCGCAGTGTAGGGGGCAAAAGAAAGACTCGAGAGTGATTTGAAACAGTACTTTTTAAAGGGTCTCCAGGCTTCCCTGTTCAGCTTGGCGATCAAGCTATTTTTCTTGCAGATTTGAAAACATCCTCCAGGTTTCTCCTGGGAGCTTCTGAGTCCAGTGAGAGGCAGGTCGTTAACAGGGCTGAAGCTGTTAAGTTTCTGTTTCTTGCCTGTCTCCAACAGAGAATAGAAAGTGTGATCGTTGAACACATGGTTGTATGTTTCAGTAAGAGACACCCACTCGGGCAGCACTAGGGCATACCGACTAATCCAGAAATATCCCCTCAAGGCCGGGCGCGGTGGCTCACGCCTGTAATCCCAGCATTTTGGGAAGCCGAGGTGGGCAGAACATGAGGTCAGGAGACTGAAACCATCGTGGCTAACACAGTGAAACTCCATCTCTACTAGAAATACAAAAAATTAGCTAAGCGTGGTAGCACCCGCCTGTAATCCCAGACTTAGGAGGCTGAGGCAGGAGAATCGCTTGAACCCGGGTGGCAGAGGTTGCAGTGAGCCAAGATTGTGCCACTGCACTCCAGCCTGACAGAGCGAGACTCTGTCTCAAAATAGACAAAAAAAAAAAAAAAAAAAAAAAAAAGTTCCCTCACTGGTTTTTTTGCCCCTTTCTGACACCCAAATGCCAACTTTCATCAAATATCTTCTGGATCTGTGATTCTCAATGGAGACCGATCCAGTCTGGGGACATTTTTGGTTGTCACAACTTGAGGGTGCTGCTGGTATCTAGTGAATAGAGACTGGGATGTTGGTAAGCATTCTGCAGTGCACAGACAGCCTCCACCGCAGAGAACGGCCCGGCCCCGAAAGTCAGCAGTGCTGAGGTTGACACATCTCCCCTGGTTCCTAAAAGATCATTGCTCTTGTCAGTAAGAAGGTGGTTCTCTGCCAAGAGCAAGCTTTGGTGGCAAATGCCACCCAGGAAAAGATACAAAGAAAACCTTACCCTGGGGCCATCTTCACCTGGTACTCTACAACCCAGTGCCAATGCAAGTTTTTTCTTTCCTTTTTCTCTCTCTCTCTCTTTTTTTTTTTTTTGAGACGGAGTCTTGCCGGGCAGAGTGCAGTGGCACAATCTCAGCTCACTGCAGCCTCTACCTCCTGGATTCAAGCAATTCTCCTGCCTCAGCACCCCCTGTGGCTGGGATTACAGGCGTGCACCATCACATCCAGCTAATTTTTGTATTTTTAGTAGAGACAGTGTTTCGCCATGTTGGCCAGGCTGGTCTCAAACTCCTGACCTCAGGTGACCCATCCACCTCGGCCTCCCAAAGCGCCGAGATTACAGGTGTGAGCCACTGTACCCAGTCTGTCTCTCTCTCCTTTCTTTCTCTGTTTCCTTCCTTCCTTCTTTCCCTCTCTCTCTCTTTCTCTCTTTTTCTCTTTCTTTCTTTATAGAGCAGGGGATTTGTGGTCACTGGCTAAGTTACTTTTTCATGGCTGTGATTTTCACTATACTCTTTCTTTTCCCCAGCCAAAGTTATAATCCAGGCAACCCTAAATTACGGCCCGGGGGCTGCATGCGGCCCCCTGAGGCCATTTATCCGGCCCCCAGCCGCACTTCAGGAAGGGGCACCTCTTTCATTGGTGGTCAGTGAGAGGAGCACAGTATGTGGCGGCCCTCCAATGGTCTGAGGGACAGTGAACTGGCCCCCTGTGTAAAAAGTTTGGGGACGCCTGTTATAATTATTTGTCTATGATGTTTTTCCCCCAATGATACATTTGTATTGTTGCTTTTCCTGGCTGCATAATATTCCTTTTAGATATGGCAGGAGTTGCTTATGCAAGTAAGCACTGTGGGTAAAAGGCTGGAAAGGGTGAAGGTTCTGTTTGGTTTGGTTTGAGACAGGGTCTCATCTGTACACAGGCTGGAGTGCAGTGGCACAGTCTCTACAATCATGCCGTCCTGGGTTCCAGTGATCCTCCCGCCTCAGTCTCTTGAGTAGCTGGGATCACAGGTATGCATCACCATGCCCAGCTAATTTTAAAATTTTTTGTACAGATTGGGTCTCACTATGTTGCCCGGGCTGGGCTCAAACTCCTGAGCTCAAGGAATCCTCTCACCTCAGCCTCCCAAAATGCTGTTATTCTAAGTGTGTACCACCAAGCCCAGCTACGGCGGGGGTCGAGGGAGAGGTGACGGTTTTGAGGGGCTTATTGGCATGGTGCTGGGAGGAGATTTGGGAGCTATTTTTCTGCTAGGCATTTCCTGTCATTCTGGGGGCCCCCGGCACCCAGGCAGGCTGCAGAATGATGTGGTGTGAAGTGGGAGGAGGAAGGGGGACTTGTCAGAGGGTAAGATGTTTAGAGCCTCACCCCTGACTCAGCGCCCGGCCCTGTCAACACGGCTGAGTCAGCACTGGTGCCTGGCAGCCCAGGTGGAGTCCCAGGACGATCGAGCTGGCTTGTCAGGCGCCAGGGCTGAGTGATTCCGCTTGCCCCGGCCTGAGCTGTGTCAGCTGTGCTAGACCAGTGAGCATCAGCCTCGAAGCTGGGCACAGCTCACGCCTGTAATCCCAGTGCTGGGCGGCCGAGGTGGGGGGGATCTAATCCCAGCACTTTGAGGGGACCAAGGCAGGCAGATCACTTGAGGTCAGGAGTTCAAGACCAGCCTGGCCAACATGGTAAAAACCCATCTTTACTAAAAATACATACACACACACACACACACACACACACACACACACACACACACACACACAATTAGCCAGGCGTGGTGCAGCCACCTTTAATCCCAGCTACTTGGGAGGCTGAGGCAGGAGAATTGCTTGAACCTGGGAGGTAAAGGTTAGATGGCGCCACTGCACTCTATCCTGGGCAGCAGAGGAAGAGTCCGTCTCAAAAAAAAAGAAACCCTCAGACTGGCCACACGATTTGTCGCCTGCACATCAGTTTCCTTGTGTGGAGAATGGGTTTGCTGCTGTGAAAATGAAATGAGAGATTAAAGCTCAGAGCCCAGCCCTGGGGTGTGCCCAGCATAGTGAATGGCCCCTGATGACGTTGATGTGCTTGAATTTTAAGGCCCCTTCCTCCCTCTCTCTCCCCACAACCCTTTTCACTCATCCAGCCACTGATTCATTCATTCATGCATTTATTCAGTCACTCATTCAGCAGATGCTCTAGATGCCTCAGCCTCTCGCCGAGTCCCGGCAAGCAGATGTGACTCGGAATTTCAGAAGTGACTCTGGCCGGGCGTGGTGGCTCACGCCTGTAATCCCAGCACTTTGGGAGGCCGAGGCAGGAGGATCACCTGAGGTCAGGGGTTCGAGACCAGCCTGGCCTACCTGGCGAAACCCCGTCTCTACTAAAAATACAAAAATTAGCTGGGCGTGGTGGTGGGCACCTATAATCCCAGCGACTCAGGAGGCTGAGGCAGGAGATTCGCTTGAACCCGGGAGGCGGAGGTTTCAGTGAGCTGAGATCACGCCACTGCACTCGAGCCTGAGCGACAGAACAAGACTCTGTCTCAAAAAGAGAAAAAAAGAAAGATGTGACTCAGCCTCCAGGCCTTGGAGTCAATGCCAAAACGTTTGTCACATGACCTAACTTCGTGCTAAGGCTGGCCCCTGTGACTTGAGCTTGGGGGCTTTCTTCTGGGCACCTGCAACAAATTAGCTCTTTCAACCCTCCCCATAAGCCAGAGGGTAGCCTAAGC